CCCCCCCACCCAGCTGCTCCAGACCCGATCACGTGGGCGGGTGATGACCTGACCAGCCCTTTCTCGGACAATTGTCATCTTTCCATCGGCGATCCTCCCACACTCGATGACGCACCAGGTTAAAGGCATGGGATGATGACCGATTAATAACTGGGAGAGGTCCAGAGCTCAGAAACGTGCAGAAACCTCGTTCGCAACATGTAGATAGAGTGTCTGGGTAGCTGGTCTGGCTATGAAACCGGCGGAACGATCCAGATTCCGGGGATTACCAAGCAGCCGCACCAATCGGGCCACCAGCCCTAACCTCTTGAAACCAAGTCCGTGGAGATGATGATGTTCATCGGCTTGGCCTCTTACCAAGCAGCGCGTGTCCAGAACCGCTTGCTGAAGTAACCCACGCCTAACCCACGGCCTTGGCATGCCTGCAAGCCACCCGCCCTCAGCGCAATTCTATTCGGCTTGCAGCAGGCACAACTCTAAATCTCCGAAATTGGTATGACGCGAAGTCATTAGTAGCCTATAGAAATCCCATGTGCTAACTCAACGTGGGTGTACTTTCCGATTAGCCTCATGCAGAAGGTATTTGTTCTTGTCACCGAGTACCAGTTTGTCACTTATTGTGGTGATCTATCTTGATTGAGCCCATTGCGTTCCTCGTCTCATCACATCGAGTGATCAACATTGCATGACCCTGGTGGAGCCCCTTCGTCTCCCCAACAGGAGGGTCCGGATTACCAAGTCCCGACACCGTTTGGCTGTAAATCGACTCAAATTCTGGATTCGTAGCTTAACTAAGACGCGTGGGCTGTTTACTTGCCTCGCCATGGAAGCCGATATAAGGACCCGAGGGGACTCCCCTTGGTGAGGCTTCTCGAAAGATCCCAGCATTCTGAATTCTTTTCGGCTTCGATTCCTCAGCCATGCGTCATTTCTGGCTTTTGCCAGCTGTTGCTGGTATCGCTGGGGCTCAATGCCCCTATCTGTCGGGTGAAATGAGTTTCACCCAGGAGCAGGACAATGCTGGCGATACCATTGAGGTCACGGAACAGACCATTGACAACACTCTCTATGTCAATGACACTGGTAGCTACATGACTACCGACTTTGGGACCCCGATCTCCGACCAGTACAGTCTCAAGGCCGGTCGCCGTGGACCTACCCTGTTGGAGGACTTTATCTTCCGTCAGAAGCTCCAACGGTTCGACCATGAGCGTGTAAGTATAGTAGCTGTCACAGTGTGTAGCAATGAATTGACCAAGTTTTCTTGTTCAATTAGGTCCCCGAGCGTGTCGTCCACGCCCGTGGTGCCGGTGCATACGGTACTTTCAAGTCCTACGCCGACTGGTCCAACGTCACGGCTGCCGATTTCTTGAGTGCCAATGAAAAGGAGACTCCGATGTTCTGTCGCTTCTCTACTGTTGTCGGTTTCCGTGGAAGTGTTGATACCGCGCGTGATGTTCACGGTCATGCTTGTCGGTTCTACACTGACGAAGGTAACTATGGTATGCTTAATATGACAACACAACAATAATAATTGTCGTACATGCTAACAATTGTGTCTCTACTAGACATCGTCGGAATCAACTTTGCTCCCTTCTTCATCCAGGATGCCATCCAGTTTCCCGATCTTGTCCACGCCATCAAGCCTATGCCCAACAATGAGATCCCTCAGGCCGCAACTGCTCACACTTCCGCTTGGGACTTCTTCAGCCAGCAGAGCACTGCCCTCCACAGTGCCTTGTGGCTGATGTCTGGTAACGGTATTCCTCGTTCTTTCCGCCATATGAATGGATACGGTGTCCACAGCTTCCGCTTTGTCGCTGCCAATGGCACTTCCAAGGTGGTTCGCTACCGCTGGAAGTCCCAGCAGGGTGTTGCCAGTCTGGTGTGGGATGAAGCTCAGGCTGCTGCTGGTAAGAACAGCGACTACCACCGTCAGGATTTGTACAATGCGATCGCCAACGGTCACTACCCCAAATATGAGGTTAGTCCCCAATCGTCCTCCCTTTCACTCGTAGTTTCGGTCGCTGACAATCCTCTAGCTGCAAGCCCAGATCATGGACGAAGCCGACATGCTCCGCTTTGGTTTCGACCTTCTGGACCCCACCAAGCTGGTCCCTGAGGAGGTTGTCCCTTACACTCCTCTCGGAATGATGGAGCTCAACGCCAACCCCACCAACTACTTTGCTGAAGTTGAACAGGCTGGTGTATGTATCCCCCGTTGCTCTAAGCTTCAAACCAATTGCTAATTTCTATAGTTCCAACCCGGCCACGTCGTTCCTGGTATCGATTTCACCGATGACCCCCTGCTGCAAGGCCGTCTGTTCTCCTACCTGGACACCCAGTTGACCCGTCACGGCGGTCCCAACTTCGAGCAAATTCCCGTCAACCGTCCACGCAAGCCCGTCCACAACAACAACCGTGACGGCTTCGGTCAGCAGCAGATCCCTACCAACAACTGGGCCTACACCCCCAACACCATGAGCAATGGCTACCCCATGCAAGCCAACCAGACCCACGGCCACGGCTTCTTCACCTCCCCTTACCGCTACGCCTCTGGCCACCTCATCCGCGAGCCCAGCCCGACCTTCGACGACCACTGGTCCCAGCCCGCCATGTTCTGGAACTCTCTGATCCCGGCTGAGCAGCAGATGGTTGTCAACGCCATTGTCTTCGAAAACTCCAAGGTCAACAGCCCCCACGTTCGCGAGAATGTTGTCAACCAGCTGAACATGGTCAACAACAACCTTGCCGTCCGTGTTGCTCGTGGTCTTGGTCTTGACGAGCCCTCCCCCAACCCGACCTACTACACCTCCAACAAGACTTCCAACGTCGGCACCTTCGGCAAGCCCCTCCTCAGCATCGAAGGTCTGCAGGTTGGCTTCCTCGCTTCCAACTCTCACCCAGAGTCCATCAAGCAGGGCCAGGCCATGGCCGCTCAGTTCTCTGCTGCTGGTGTCGACCTGAACATCGTCACCGAGGCCTACGCCGATGGTGTCAACACCACCTACGCCCTGTCCGACGCTATCAATTTCGATGCCCTCATCATCGCCGACGGTGTCCAGAGCCTCTTTGCCTCTCCCTCCCTGGCTAACCAGATGAACTCTACCGCCACCTCTACTCTCTACCCTCCGGCCAGACCTTACCAGATCCTGGTCGACTCTTTCAGGTACGGCAAGCCCGTGGCTGCTGTGGGTAGCGGTAGCGCTGCGCTCAAGAACGCTGGTATTGATTCCTCCCGCTCTGGTGTGTACACTGGCTTGAGCGAGACCACCGAGAAGATCGCCAAGGAGGTCTTGAAGGGACTCTACACTTTCCGCTTTGTGGATCGGTTTGCCATTGATGAGTAAGGGTGTTGTACATATACTCATAATCATCATTGATTGTGATAGATCGCTTGATCGATAGACTTATTTAGATAGATTGTACAAGACTGTACATATCTCTACTGATGTGTTGTGTTGCTCTGACACACGTTTATGAATATATATATTCTTTTCTTTGTGAACGCTTTCAGTGTAATCAACAACCCTCAGACTTTCTTATTGTCTAAATATCTATGATTTTAGACCCCTCAATTAAAGAATGGAAATTACGATTGCGGCGTCGGATGTGGAGAAGATTAGTGGTCTTGAAGCCAGTGAGCAGGTTGCTGTCAGAGAGACGTATTTTCGGACGCTGCGGATGGTCTGGGTGATGTATAATGCTTTTGCGAGCTTGGCGTCGGTGGTTACACTGTTTGTGAGGGCTCATGGTTTAAGGAAGGAGAATGAGGGGGCAGTATTGCGGGTGGAGAGGGAGACTGGGGATCGTCGGGGACAAGATTTAGGGGTTGAGATGCAAGATTTACGAGACGGGGAGGTACGACAGTGAGGTGCTAGTATGACTCCATGGTAGGAGATTAGGCGTTGGGAGGTGATAGGGTATCTCGAGGAAAGTTATATGAGACTCTCTGATTGAAGTTGCTATCTACAGGTATATACTTATTTATTCTGGTTGCCATTCTTGCTCTTTATCCTCTGTTATCGCATGTTATGGCCGCACTAGGTCCCTGAATCCGGATCCGCTGAATGTTCACTCCCTGACGCCAAATCCGGACTGTGCAAAGATACTAGTAACCGCTATCCCTCCCTCCCAGGAAATCGACAACATGACTCCCCACAAAGACATTTCTTGCTCAGCTGGCGCCAATAATTATCCGAATAGTCGACAGTGATTTCCGTTCCTGCCATAATGCCCCGTGAGACCACAATTATGCGCTCCATGCCCCTCCAGTAGAACCGTTGAAATTGGCTATTCGGTCGACACGAGTGGTTGATGAATCGGGTGAAATTGCCCATCTGACCCTGATATATTTGATATGTTCGACCACGTGAGCCACCAAGCATCACGTCTACTCCTTCTATGCCGTTTGTGATGAGGCCTGTGAATTCGCCTATGACGGTTCCGCGTTCGAAGTTCTACTTCTGCTTCAGTAAGTTGTCAAAGAGAGGGGTGCGCTATGCTCGGGTAAAGAAAACAAATAACTTACACAACGCGCAATAACGCCATTGTTCTTCCCAGTCGACGTCCGAAATACCTGGACTGGCACCGGATGACGAACGCCACCGAATAACGCTGGAAAACACAGGCATTGATTCTTCTCAATCTCATCTGACTGCCTTGCTTTGCATACAAGGCACACATCGGGATCTAGCTCCGGGACATGACGTGGATCCTGATCTCCAAATACAGCGTGATCTAGTACACACACGTCGATGAACTGGTAATGAAACTCTTGAGGAAGGTTGAGATGCGCGTATGTTGAAGCCAGAGGGACAGCTGCATCCTCAGACATGGTTACCCACTCATGCGGATGGCCGTGATATGCGATCGACGTATCCTGCCTGATAACTTGCAGCAGGTCCCGCCATCCCGGGTGAAGAGTGTCGGCCGCTACCTCGAAGCTAGATCGCAGATGCCGTAGGCGGGTAAACAATCCTTCCCCGAACTCCGTGCGATACTTGCAGAATCGATATATACCGGTACTGGCGAATATGAGACATGCCCAACCGCCTGTGTCCTTGATTTCTTTGTAACCGCGCCAGATAGCCCTATATATGCATTAGTACTGCAATCAGTCGATGGGAAAGGAGAAAGCAGTACATTCGATTACGAAGATCCTTTTCCTTCCAACTGAGAACCACGCAAGCCTCCTTCAGAACCATCATTCGCGCATCTGTCATTGAGAGTTGAGGCTTCTCTAGTCGGATAACGGCAACGCGTGCTTCGAAACATTCTACCCAGTATGCTTGGACGATCATTTCCAGAGCACGAGAAGATTGGCTTTGGTTGTAGTATTTCAGACATAGGGTATTGATCTCGCGAAAGACCTTCTCCTGTTAGTAAAGCTAATGTTAATGCTCTCGGGACGGTCACCTCAAGACTGACACCGGTTCGGATGTCCGTATTGGATTGTATGATCTGAATCTGTTAGCCTTTGAATCATACTTCCTTTCTTAACAGGATCATACCGAAGGCAGACGACTCAGCTTTACAGGCGAATGTAACTGTCGCCATATCCCTGCTATAAGCTTATCGCCCGAGGTCGGTTCCAGCACAGGCAACGAATACTCCTGCCGTGGGTTCTTTCGTTGCGGAAAGCGGGTGTCACTGTGGACCTGTCGCACAGAAGGCTTGGATCCACTGGAATCGGCAGCGGCTTCCCAGGATAAGCTTTCGTGCTCAGCATCAACTGATCTGTCTGGATGAATGGTGGTCGCCTTTGCTGGTCGGAGTGCGCTTATGGTCTTGCGCCGCTTGTTGGGGTAGCGCTGAGCGTCCCCGTTATCACGGCATTTGTTGGAGTCAATGGTGGTAGTAGCATATTCTGTGCTAATCTGTAAAACCTGTTACTTGAATCATTGTACTATTGGGCACCAAGTAAGCCTACCCTAGAGTCAGGCGTTGAGACCGGAGTGGGTGGCAACGGCACTGCCTTCCCACTTCGAAGATCAATGTGTCCCTAGGTAAAGTCAGGCAAGGTCGAAATCGTCGGTGAAAAACTGATATTTACCAAGATTAACCTGCTTCCTTGCGCTGAACTCGTCTCCTTATTGACTAAGAAAGCTTCAATTTTGAGGTAGAGCTGCGAGTCGCCATTTTCTTTCAAGCCGCCGTCCTTAATTGCACGCTTCTGCTTCCTATCCAGACTCTGCCGGACAGCCTGTACGGCCGACTGAAAATGCGCCGGAAAGATTGGGTTCTGAAGGATGTTCGACAACTGTGAAACAAGGGGTAGTGCTATAGAGTCCATTATACCTCAACAATAGCTTATTACTGAAGATACTGAGATCATACTGTTATGAAGAGGGTCTTAACTCGGCTATCGGCTACCTCTGGGATGCCAAGAAGGGCAGATTCTGCTCGGGCAGAATTGCTGACTAATTTTCTCTCATCGCTCAACCCAGTTATCCAAGATAATTCTTTGCTCTAGCAAGGTGGACAGGACGATATTATATATTTAGAATGTATGGGTTAGATAGCAGGTAACATTAGAGTCAGGTCTTGTTCTCTCCAAGGTTGCGAGCAGTATGGTGTGTTGACGCATCATCCAAGGGCAGTTGACCGTCCACCCCAACATGAGAACTTTCCCTCTCGGCCCTACCAAATCGGCTAGATCGGTTGGGAGATGTGTAAAAGCGAAAGGGTTTTAGGTCTAGTACAGGCCCAATAATCATTAGTATAAATAAGAGACCGTCTTTTCCTATCGTCCTTGTCCTATACATGACAATAATCAAACCACCATGCCCGACACCAAGTACCTCAATAGGCAGAGTCCATATACTTACTCTTATGACAACCGGACAGGATGGAGACGCTTTCGTGTCCTGAATCCATGCAGAGGCATGTATCATGATGTGCGTCGGCGATTACCCTACTACTGGAGTGATGTCCGAGATGCGTTCACTTATCGAACCGTCGCAAGTACGATTCGCATATACTTCATTAAGTAGGTCCTAGGTCCTTCTTGAATACACCACTTTGATTTCTCTAACGTACTCAGTATTCTCCCTGCTATCGCCTACACATTGGATATGTACCGCCGAACAGGAGAGTTCTACGGCATCAATGAAGCGCTGTTTTCCTCGGCACTCGCAGCTATGGTGTTTAGCGTCCTGGGCGCACAACCACTTACTATTGTCGGTATCACTGGACTAATATCGCTGTTCAACTACACCATATATGATATTGTAGTCATATACGAGCCCTTCATATACGCTAACTTCATGTGCTGGACTGCTATCTGGGCGGCGATCTTCCATTGGATTGTTGCTGTGTGCAACCTCTGCGACTATATGCGCTATGTGACCGACTTTTCATCTGAGTCATTTGGTGCATATGTTGGGATTATCTATTGCAGTAAGTCCCATAGAGACTATTGTCTTGCAGGGATTGGTACTAAGTCGAGCAGTAAAGGGCGTCGAAGAGCTCGTTAATGAGTTCACAGTCTACGGGCCAACCGCAGGCTTCATGAGTTGCATGATAGCCATTCTGTACTTCTTCACAATATACGGACTTGAGTTGCTGGGCTCAAGCACAATCTGCCGACCATGGTTTCGTGGACTACTGGCTGATTATGCTTATGTAGTAAGATCTACCCCTTATTCAATTTTGATGACCTTACACTCACTCTCAACCAGATTGGAACCATCTTCTGGGTAGGATTCGCACATATCCCCGGCAACCTCCAGGAGACCGGTATCTCATTCGTGCCCATCACTCGAGCATTTTATCCGACACAACCACGTGGTTGGCTGATTCACTTCTGGGAATTGGAGACAAAATGGATATTTGCAGCCCTACCTTTTGGATTCTTGGTCATGCTGCTCTTCTATTATGACCATGTATGTCTTATCAATCCCCAGTCAACATGAAATTTACTTTCCCGATTTACGATACTAACCCGAAACAGAATGTCAGCAGCCTCGGTGCTCAAAGCAGACAATACCCCTTAAAGAAACCAGCCGGCTTCCATTGGGACTTCTACCTCTTAGGCTGCACCACCTTCATCGCCGGGATCACCGGCATCCCAATGCCGAACGGCCTCGTCCCACAGGTACAACCCCCACTCACTTTTCCCCCACGTACATAAACCCCATACTAAACAATCTACCAACTCAGGCCCCCGTCCACACCACGTCCCTAACCGTCACCCAAACAACCCTCCACATCATCCCCACCTCGAACCCAGACGACCTCGAATGCACCGAACTCCGCCATCCCGTCACTACCCCCACAGCCGTAATCGAGCAACGCATCTCCCACTTCCTCATGGGCCTGGCCATAATCGGCACCATGACGGGTCCTCTCCTGACAGTCCTACACACCATGCCGGCCGCCGTGTTCGCGGGTGTCTTCTTCATAGTAGGCTGGGGCTCCATTGAATCGAACGGTATCCTGCAAAAGATCATCTTTCTACTTCGGGAGGATCGGTTCATCCCGCGGAATGAGAAATTACTCCGTGTTCCGAAGCGGAAGATTGTACTTTACGTGATGTGCCAGGTTGTGGGGGTCGCTGCGTGCGTGGCTATCTCTCAGACTATTGCGGCCATAGGGTTCCCAATTCTGATTATAGGGTTGATTCCGTTTCGGGTGTGGGTTATGCCGAGGTGGTTTGGAGCGGAAGAGTTGGGGGTGTTGGATGGGTTGACGGCGGATGGGGAGGCGGTTTTGTGTAGTTTGGGGGGTCCACCTAGGTTTCCTGGGGAGGTGGGGAGGGGGTTTTAGGGCGAGAGGGAGAAGAATGGAGGGCGAGGAGGAGTTGCTTACCTAGAGGAGTGGGAAATAGTTGAAGTCTACTATAGCGATGGCTAAGAGAGAAGGTGAATACTTCCAAATCGTATTCTGAAGGATTCTAGCAGGGTGGTAAACCAAGACGTATGGTTGAAATCTGGATACTTCTGCTTGATACCAATACTTACTTCGAACTGAGGCCAACAGTCTGACTTTCTGTCTCACACCTACTCTCTGCCAAATAGCATCTGAGAGCATGTGGCCAATAAGTTAGTAAAATACTGGATGACTACCCCAGCCTTCCTCTCAAAATGCCCTCCGCCAAGATGAAAATTTGCTAAAGGCCCCGTGGACAGTGTCGGAATTATATATTTTGAGTCTCGGTATCACAACCTTGGCATAAGGGGAGTAGAGTTTACTACCACTATTCATCTGTGCTAATACGCCTCGTCAGCTGATAGTATATGTCGATCTGGTACATTAAGTGAATACAACAATATAGCGCTCAATCAACAGAGGTTTTTCCCGTGTCCGGCGGCCAGACATCGCAACGCATGCATACAGTGATTGATTTGTGGTGACTTTGGCATGTAATCATCCATACAAGCTGCTGAATTGCCCAGCCTGATAACACTTGGCATACTAGTAACAATAAACCCCAAGGATATGCTATCTCCATTGGTGTATGTACACATATCTAGTCATATCATACAAGTCTGCTCACCTCAATATCAGTTTCAATGCGGACCGCGCCGAGTGGGATATCCATGTTCCGGCGATGCCCGTACTCACTCGGGCTGACTTGAACATCTGAAACGAGCTTGCCAACACTGCCGCAGCCTGCATGTCCCTTTTGCCACGAGACAGTGTCTTTCCGCCCACCGAGATGCGAGCCCATATTGCTAGGGGACTTTCTACTCCCTTGATTGCTACCCAAGCGAACCTTTGAATCTGGAGTATTCCGCAGTGCCTTCGCCAAGGCAATACAGTTAGGCACGCTAATGGAGATAATGGATATTGATCCCTCAAGTACGGACCAATAGCAGTATTTGACAAAGAGCCAGGTGAGGTCCTGGCTCATGATGGGTATGACTTGGACAACAGCGACCAGGCGGCCAAGAGATAGCACAATGACTGAGTAAGCCATCATGAAGGCAGTCAGAAGGTATACGCGTCGCTTTAGACTGACTTGCAAACCCCAGATCATGGGGATTGGAAGGCACAAGATGTACAGGTCGATCGTAGACGAAAGAGCGGCCGTTGATATATACCATTGGAATTGGGCGATGCATGTTCCTGGTAATGTAGTGTTCCAGACCTTTGGGATGGGGTGGCATCCAAGAATGGTAGAGATCCAGGCTGCTAAGAGCCATCCAGATGTGAGCCCACCCACGATCCAGAGGTGTATGCGAAAGGCGCGGTTGTTGGATCGAAATACGCGTGCGTAGAAAAACAAGGCCGAAATCTTTGGCACACAGACTGAGCCGTCGAAGAAAAATGTTGCCACGTATAGCTAGCGGGCGCCGGTCATGATATATTCTGGGTTTATTGCGGCAACTACATCCATATGATAGCCGAGGCCGATTTGCCTCCACGCCAGCACGAGGGAGAGAACGATTAACTCGAGCGGCTGGGTCAAATGACAATGCGGTCAGAAACGTATGTTACTTTGTCAGTGTATAGAAGCACGCATACCAATGCGAGGATGGCGAAGAAGTCATCCCACCACCAGTCTTGATGGGCGACAAATTTACTGATAACCCGAAGCGTTGTGAATACCGTGATGAGGACAATAAGGAAAATGGTTGTAATGAAAATCCCTTCTCCGCAGTCGGGCGTACCATTGGGGATGTCTAGCGCCATGAGGGACACAGTCAAAGCAACCTAGGGCGTATAATGTCGAGGCATCTGCTGGAGTAGGCGAAGTCACGTGCCAGGCGCTCAGGCCGCCCACAAACGACCTCTCGCTTTGTTTACTAGATCACCTAGATAGCTACTAATTCAACTCACACTTTTGCTGCATTTTTGCGCGTTCGTTTGCTTGCTTTCGCTGTTTCGTTGCTTTGCTAGTAATCACGCGCCTCAACATATAATGTGACCTTTGCAACCAGGAAGAGCAAGAACAAAGGAGGACGCAATATGGGAGTCGGTAAATAACATACGACTGTAGGACCTGTCCGTGTCATCAATGACGGGGAGCGGAGCGAACGAAGTTGGTGGCGGCTCAGCCTTGTGCCCGCTGTCAGTTTCCAATGTCAGCGTCAGGGCATCCTGGCCTCGTTGGGAATCCAACATGCTGACGGCAGTACGGAGTATGAAAGGCCGCATTTAATCACAACGCAATCAAACTAAGAAAAGAGGGGAAGAAAGGAAAATTGACGCCAAGTGGCTGAGTGAAGAGCCCCTAAGGCATCAAGTAAGCACTAAAAGAACAGGGATCAATAGGACTCAGAGTAGTGTTTGTCAAGCTTTACGACGATCCCCATCGTTAACCCTTGTTTGTACTGCATGTCACAGCGCCCCCCGCCCCTCTGTCTCCAATAGCTCGCGTTCACTTCTGAGGGGGCGGTGCTCTTTAAAAGGGTGGCCGGAGGGGTTCGTTTCCACTCTCTGTACTATCGCTGCAGTCACATCCCCTCAAAATTACTATCTCCCCTTTCTCGTCGACAATCTACCGCAGGTATGGCCTGGTCACAAGTGTCAGCCCATTACTGGGAGCGCCCTGGAGATGGCCTTGAGAACTATTTTGCCTTGATCGCATCTCTTTCTGCCGCTGCCTGCAATGGCAGGCGTCATTACACCATTTTCACCAAACTCCAGCTTGAGTTGGACATGCCGGTGACTGAGGTGGAAGCATCGTTGAAGAGGGCCTGGACGCAGCTGCGGTATGAACAGCCCCAGATAGCCACAGTCCACAACGGCACAACCAAAGTCTATGAGGTGCCCGACGAGGCAGCCTTGCAGGCTTGGGTTGCCTCGACCGTGATCACATCTGCAGCGGCCAACGCAGAGGACGTGTACGCCAGTATCACGCCTATCACGCAGGCTACTCTGTACTACCTACCTGCATCCTCCCAACTACGTAGTCCTACGTACCCCGCACGAGACGATCGATGGCATTGGAGTCATTCGGTTATTGGACCGTCTGCTAAGCATCCTAGTGTCTCCACCCACGGAGAATATCACTTTTGGCGATGAACACTCCCGATTGGCGCCTACCCTTCGTGAAATCCTCGGGGTGGCTGAGCAACCGACCCCAGAGGAGTTGGAAAGAGTAATGGCGCTCTATAAGCCTTACATGGACCACGCTCCTGGCATCGGGCCTGTCTCTAACCTCGGCAATCGTCCGGCCGGTCAGTCACAACATGCGAGGCTGGATATACCCACGCGTACCACCGAGGCCATCATCCAGGCCTGCAAAGCTAAAGGCATCACTGTTACTTCCGCGGTCCACGCAGCCTACATTGTGACAATCAAGAAGCATGCCGATCCTGATCATCCATCGTGCCATTATGTCAATACTGCGCAGTTCAATCTTCGCCCCTACCTGCCAAAACATGGGGCGCAGTACACTGCCTCGCTTGGTTACACCTTGTTTCCGGTGCACCTGGAGTCTCCAAATTCATTCGACCAAACGGCGGAAGCTCTTAACCGCTTTTACCGGACGACGTTCGCCAATGATCCCAGTAAGCTGCCCTTGGTGCCGCATATGACGGACATTCTGTTTGCTGTCACCCAAAATCCGGAGTATCAGAAGGGGCCAGTCCCTAGAGACGCAATTCCTAGCAGCCTGGGAATAATTGAGAAATACATGCAACGGTCCTACGGAACCAACAGAGTGATCATTCGGGATTTCATGCTCGGAGTCGACGTTGTGATGGGCATGAATATGTTGCTTATGTCCACCTTCCGGGACCAACTGCAGCTAGTGTACAGCTTCAATGACGCATACCACGAGCCCGAACATATCATGCGGTACCTGCAGGGAATTGTGGAAGTTCTTACGGAGGAGCTATTGGCAAACTGAGGCAGAGAAAGCGAGTCCCCCTCTTGCACTTGTCACATGCAGATCTTATAAGTCTATCAATAGGAAATGGCAGAAATCATCGGTCCTTCTGAAGCGTCCTCCCAAACAATTGCGTGTATAGTAGACTTTCTTGTTTGCCCAACCGAGTAAGCAAAGTGATGGTCAAGATGTGTACCTCACAGAATAGCCTTGCTACGATCGTTCGACTCTGCATCTTGTGCTGGCATACTCCTTCCTATTAAAGTAAAGATGTGCAGATTACTGTCTACTGGCCCGGCCACGGACTCACACAGTAGGCTTTCAAACAATACAATACACTACCCTCCATTTGCCTTCCACTGAAGATCTATGATGTGCACCCCTCAGTAGGATTCTGTAGTAAACATGTCCGTGCAGAAAACCCACTCCGATGCACCGTTACTCGTAGTTCATAGGTTTGATTGAATCTAAGGCTGTAGTTCTCACGTCCCACCCCGTCGCGCTTTGTCGGCGATTGCCTTGAGTGAGGGCACATTCATGACTACCAGTGTCTCCAATCTATATTTAGCAGTGTTCAAATGTAAGAGGGCGCGTACACCAGGTTGGGATCAAGAATAGTCGGAGAGTATCAGATCGCGCAGGAACTGACAAAACACTTCAGTCATAGTAAGAGAAACCTTGACACTGAATAGGCTTCTTTGTGTGACTTGTAAATATATACACCCTTTTCGAAAAGCTCTCTACGAATCTCCTAAAACACCCGAGTAATGTTTGATATCGGGTATTGTTTGATCGTAATTGACATGCAGAATTGATCACATGCCAAAGATCATCTATATCACAGCACGCTAAGTAATTCCTAAACCCGCCATAACCGGGACCCCAAAGTAAGACTGGCAGATCACTCATTGGCGATACCACGTAATCATGTGCATCTTCCTCCGACCGCTGCATCCGAGCGCCCTATGGCTAGCAATACATTTGTTTCTACCTCAACATATCGAGCTAGGAAAAGCTGCCCCAAAACATGGTAGTACCAAAATACTTGAACTATAGCTACATCACAACCTTTCAGTCTTCTGAATGAGTTCAGTCTTCGTCAATTATATAGGGAAAGTACGTTGGTGGATGGGATGAATGACAGGTAGGGGACGGCCAGAAGGAACCCAAGCTAGAGATCATGAAACAGGAGTTGGCATAAGCCGGCAGCTGCTCAAAACGCATGACATACAGTGGGGGCTGAAAAAGGAGGAGGCGGGCGCGGGTGCTGTCGCGTCTAAACTGTACTCGAACCTCATGTTCTGTCGCACTACTGCCGGTGGTCTAAAGCAGTAATTGATTACCGCATTTCGGATTTCATAGTCCGTACTGGTATGCACGCAGTACTGACCTGATTGCGCCACCCCAGTGGATCTCCAGCTTTTCAGAAAGCGCCCACTCAGTAACATTTGGAATCCACAGCTGTGTCCCTTGCACTAACAACTCGGCTAGATGGTTCAGGGTGGGCAGGCCATTTCTAGCTCCGAGCCGCCTTTTCCGGATGTCCCAGACATCAATGCTGAGCCTCCTAGACGTAGTGCTGCACTGTTAAATTGTTACTCTTACCTTGCGAACCGGAGTAACGGTGATGTATGTATAACTCAAGCCGAATGTGCCTAGGAACCACCCCGGAAGTGTGGTCCTTATAGTAGTATTTAATCTCCTTAAACCTCCCTTCGAAAGCGGCAAATTGTGTGTAGAACGTCACAGAATCTTGACTATAACTATGCAATTACCAGACGGGGAGACAGTGCCAGGTCTGCTGGTTGCTCCTGCCACTGCGCGGCAAACAAGCTTGCCTATGGCCGTCGTCGGTATTGGTAAGTGTCGGCCTTATTACTTTGCCCATGCAGTCCGGCGTTTGAATGAGACTAACCTTAGAATTGTCTAGGCTGCCGGCTTCCGGGCAATATTTCCAGTCCCGCACAGCTCTGGGATTTTTTGAGAGAAGGCCGCTCTGGTGTGGGTGAGGTTCCTAAGGATCGCTTCAACATCTATAGCTATAGGGGCGGCAAGGATGAGCCGGGCACGACTCTCCCGTTGGGCGGATACTTTCTTCAGGATGACCTCCGCAACTTCGACAACCGGTTCTTCGGCATCAATAATCGAGAAGCAGCTGTTATGGACCCTCAGCAGAGGAGGGTGCTAGAGGTAGTATTCGAGACCTTCGAGAGCGCCGGCGTAACCCTCGATGAAGTTTCCGGTGCTAATGTGGGAGTTTATAGTGCGTCGCCTGCCAATTTAATGAACTGGGCTAAGTGATAATCTGCTAATCATACGAACAGTGGCATAATTCACCCCAGATTATATCGCCATGCAGACGAAAGACCCAGAGAACTTAACGCGGTACAGTAACCTGGGCATGGGCGCCACCATTCTCGCAAACCGCATCAGCCATGCCTTCAACCTCAAAGGGCCGAGTTGTACGGTAGACACAGCTTGCTCGTCCTCTTTCTACGCGCTTCACCTTTCTTGCAACGCATTACAGAATGGCGAGTGTGATTCAGCCATCGTGGCGGGTGTCAACCTGATTCAATCCCCTGAGTTACATGCGGCAGTGTCCCAGGGTGGGTTTCTATCGCCAACATCTTTTTGCCATACCTTTGATACTTCCGCTGATGGGTGAGTCCGGTGCCCCGAACCAATCATTACCGGTCATTCATGCCTATGACTAACACGGCACCAAAACGCTCAGGTACGCACGAGCACTCAAGTCGGCGATCCCATGGAGGTAGAAGCCCTATCGCGCGTTTTCCGCAAAGAGCAACGGACTTACGCAACATTAATTGGCTCAGTCAAGCCAAACCTCGGCCACGGTGAGGCGTCTAGCGGGTTGTCTAGTCTCATCAAAGCTACCCTTGCCTTGGAGCATGGGCAGATTCCAGCGACCATTAGCGTCAAGAATATCAACCCCAAGATCAAGACTGATGAATGGGGCGTCGACGTCGTTACCCGCATAACCCCTTTCCCAGTATCCACCCGCCGTGTGCCAAGCCGCATCAGTGTCAACTCGTTTGGTTATGGGAGGGCGAATGCCCACGGCATCATAGAGGAAGCGGACCATAAACAAAATCAAGTCTCAATAAGCAATGGGGGAACAGCTGCGGAAGGTTATAAGCAGCCTCAATCAACACAGCCGCCGTATATACTTCCCTTCTCTGCAAACTGCCCTCAATCCCTTGAGGGCCGAGTGGAACGGCTATCAAATTCAGACCTTTCGTGCGTCTCAGTCAGCGACCTTGCTTATACCCTAGGACAGAGATGAACTCAGTTTGCCTGCCGTGGCTATGTGATCGCCCGACAAGAGACCTTGACACAAGATATCACAGTCGCAAACCTGCAACTTCCTACTTCCAACCTTGAGTTAGGTAGTAGAAAGATAGCATTTGTATTCACCGGTCAGGGCGCCCAGTGGCAAGGCATGTCTCGTCAGCTGTTACACTACCCAACGTTTGCCAATACAATTCGACAGCTCGACGACGAACTGAGGTCGCTTTCACGCGCTCCTGATTGGAGAATTTATGATGTCCTAATGGACGAGTCAGACAGCTGCCCCATCAACCAGGCAGTGTTCGCACAGCCAATCACCACAGCTGTTCAGATTGGCTTGGTGGTGCTGCTGCGATCTTGGTCAATCCTTGCTGGGGGAGCAATCGGACACTCCTCTGGTGAGATTGGAGCCGCATACGTGGCTGGTCTACTGTCCGCGCGCGAGGCAATCGTTCTTGCATATTACAGGGGTTACGCGGTTGCAAAACAAGCATCAGCCGCAGGCGCCATGGCAGCCGTTGGTCTGAGCTCGGATATAGCTCTGGAATTGATCACCAAGCTAGACCTCACCGACAGCGTTAAGGTAGCGTGTATCAATTCGTCATCTAATGTGACCATCAGTGGTGACCGTGGGGGAGTTGAGACTCTGGTTACCTCTGTTCAGGCAAAAGGCGCGTTTGCTCGGATACTGAAGACTGATGGGAAAGCGTACCATTCTCACCACATGGTCAGCGTGGGTGAACTCTACCAAAACCTCCTCGATGAAGCTGCCATTTTTGCCAAAGACATGGTCCCTGAAACAGAAAATTCTGACGCAAAAATGTACTCGACGGCTATCTGTAAACCCTTGGAGCGCCAAACTGCTCGCACTACGTGGTACTGGAGATTTAACCTAGAGTCCCCTGTGAGGTTCTCCAAAGGTCTGAAGGGGCTGTCAGAGTTGATCGATCCCGACTTGTGGCTCGAAATTGGACCGCACACGGCCCTGAAACTCCCCATCACGCAAACGCTTGGACAGGTGACACCTTACCACGGCACATTAGAGCGAGGTCAAGATGGATCAGTGACACTACTCAGCTTCCACGGATACCTTTTCGTTCATGGCTTCAGTCTGGATTTCACGAAGCTACTGCGCAGTTACCCCGACGGATCTCCAGCTAGATTCATCTACGATCTCCCAACTTACGCCTGGTACTATGAGGAACCCGTCTGGAATGAATAAAGAACAAGCCAGGAGAGCCGATTTCGCCAGAATCCTAGGCACGAATTGCTCGGGACAGAAGTGCCTGGAGGAAGCCCGGCATCCTTTGCGTGGCGCAACCTATTGCACCTCGGTCATGTACCTTGGCTCCGGGACCACCGACTGGGAGATACCGCCGTTTTCCCCGCCACAGGATATATTGCCATGGCAGTGGAGGCACTGATACAAAAAGCTTTGCCCTCAGGCGCAGACCTAATTAGCAAATGCGTCATCCTTCGGCAGGTAGCCTTGCTAAAAGCCCTCTCTTTAAAAGATGAGGACTCTATTGAGCTATTTACCGAGCTTCGATCGCTCTCGATTTCCAACGTTCGCGATTCGCAACATTGGTGGGAATTCCAAATATTCACCGTGATGGACCGAAATAGCTACACCCTTCACGCCAAGGGAATGATCCGGTTGGATTGCAACCCCGATGATACTTCACACGCAGCCCCATCCCCTGATTGCCGACTGGCTGTCCGAACTAAACACGTTTGGTATGACATTATTTCTCGAGGCGGCCTCAAGTATGGTACGGCGTTCCAACGTATAAAAGAGGTCTATACACCAGAAAGCAAAAACATCTTATATGCCGAAGCTCCAACCGAGTCATTTGCCCCCGAAATCCCCACCAGCGCTCAGGCGTATCCTAGATACTTCCTGCACCCGACACTACTGGACACTGTTCTTCAGCTTGCCCTCATTGCATGCAATGGTAGCTCCCTTCATGGGCTTGTGGCCCGGGTCCGACTCTGCTCGGGGAGGTCAGCATGAGCTTGGCCCCATATGCTCCAGACGAGGCTGGGATTATTCGTGCCAAGGCTTCGGTAGTCGGACTTAATATGCACAGGGCAACGACATACTTGTTCAATCAGAAGAAACAGCCCGTGGTACAGTTTAAGGATATTGAACTGACCGCCTTCAGCGCACAAGAAGGCATGGAGGATGTCCGCCATCCTATGGGACGCGTGCACTGGAAGCCCGACATAACACAGATATCCGAAGATTCCGTATTCTCTTCTGGTCTCGCTCATGTGCTCTCTGTGACTGATCTCGGAGCTTTTGGGTCCCGCTCCTGGCTGCTAGCTGCCCTGGACATGATTGTCCACAAGAAGCCTGATTCCAGGATTCTGTGTCTCGCAACCGACATGTCTTTTGTAACCTTGGCTTGCTTGGAGGTCCTGGAGACCCCCGTAGTCTACCGACGTTTTGAGACATTTTCATTGGGTAGAATAGGATGCAATGGAGCGCTGGAGGTTGCGGAAATCCGCAAGCATGCAGTGCCTTTAGGCCTTCGCTCTATGGCTTACCGCAAGGCCACCTCGGATAACCAGTACAACGTGTGCATTCTGGGACAGGGAAGTGACCATGCAGTGTTGGGCCACCTGAAGAAGCATACCAACGACTGTACCTTTTTTCTGGGTCCTTGCACACAATTTCCGGCCTCAGTGCCCTCATCGCACTTGCAACTGACGGATCGCGATCACGGTGTATACGTTCTACGTCCCAACCCCAACTTCACCCCACAATTAAACCATGTTGTTCTGATCGGGGCTTCATCTTCGGACGCGGAGCTAGCTAGTCATTTAAGCCAAGAGTTGGACAGGCCGGTGCAGGCATTGACGCTACGCGATATTCTCTCCTCACTCATTTCGCCCCAAGCCTTGGTCGTCTCGGTGATAGAAATGCACAAATCCCTGCTGTCAGACCCAACGGCAGTGGAGTACGATGCATTCAAAGAATTGATCGAGCATGCTGCCCATATCTTCTGGATTAGCGGAAGTGGTGTTCACAACGGATTTGATCCTACACGGTCTATCTTTACCGGTCTGGCTCGGGCTCTCATCGTCGAGCAGCCCTCTACCAGGATCTTCTCTCTGGAAATTGACCCAGCAACTGAATCGTCAGTGGTTTCCCGATGTGTCCGCCAAATTTTGCAGCAGAAGAATGAAGTAGACTTTGAGTACATCCGCGACAGCTCCGAGCTCCTGATCAGCCGCGTTGTGCTCGACGAGCGGTTGAACCGTGAATTCAGGAGACGACAAAACAGCATTCCCATTCTCAAGCCACTAGCTCAGGCTGACAACGCCTATTTGTTAGTTCCGGAGCCAGGCCAACTAAACTCGGCAAGGTTTGTGCAACGGCCATTATCACCCACCCTGCCAGCCGACCACGTTCTTGTTAAGGTTGTATGTGTGGGTCTCAATGCCAAAGATGCTTATGTGATGGCCGGTCGAGTGTCGACGAAAAATGCCACCTGCAGTTCTGAGTTCACAGGGCAGATTGTGGGGTTGGGTGCCGACGTGCAATCATTCGCGGTCGGCGATCGAGTGGCAGTCATGCATAATGGCCACTTTGGCACCTACGAGCCGGTTCCTTGGTGGAGCTGTATCAGGCTAGAGGATAACGAAGACTTGGTCATCATGGCGGGCGTTCTCGTTGTGTTTTTCACAGCCGTGTACGCGCTCGAATACCGCGCACGTCTCCAGCCCGCTGAGTCGATTCTCATTCACTCTGCTGCTGGTGCTGTCGGCATTGCAACCATCCAACTCGCTCAGCATCTTGGGGCAGGCGAGATTTACGCTACCGTGGGCAATGAGGAAAAGAAGCGGTATCTGGTAGAGCAATTCGGGCTCCGTTCCGAGAACATCTTTTCCTCGCGTGATATCACGTTCGCGGAGAAGGTTAAAGTCCGAACTAGAGGCCGCGGTGTCAATGTCATTTTGAATTCCTTGGTGGGGGACCTCCTCCACGAAAGCTGGAACTGCCTAGCCGACTGGGGGCGCTTTGTCGAGATTGGTAAACGCGATATTCTCGACTGCCGTAAGCTCAACATGTCCACGTTTGCGCGCGGAACTACTTTCACTTCATTCGACCTGAACATGCTGAGCGAGCTCGACACGCCCATAGCGGCTCGCCACTTGAAGTGTACAATCCTTGCGCGTGTTTTGCAGCTGGTCCGCGCCGGACACGTTCGGCCCGTTCAGCCCTTGGCCGTCTTCCCCGTCTCAGAACTGAGTGCAGCCTGCAACCACTTCAACAACGCCAAGCGGATGGGTAAAATCGTAATTTCCTTTGAAGATGAGACGCAAATCGTCCCAACGGTTCCTGAGATCTACAGCACCGTTCTTAACCCAAACAAATCTTACCTAATGGTCGGCTGTCTCGGCGGCCTCGGTCGAAGTCTATCACGGTGGATGATGAGCCGCGGCGCCCGTCGCTTCGTATTCCTCGGCCGCACGGGTTTAGCCAAACCAGCTGCCAGGCAAATTGTCCAGGAGCTGGAAGAGGCTGGGGCCCGCTGTACCGTCGCAACCGGCGACGTCATTGTGTACGAGGACGTCGAACGCGCAGTAGCGGCAGCAGTTGCTGATGCGCCTCTAGGGGGAGTGATTCAGGCCGCTATGGGCCTCCACGAAGCCATCTTCAAGCACATGCCTCGCGAGCACTGGCTCAAAGGCACGCAAGCCAAGGTGCGCGGAACACGGAAGCTTCACCAAGTCCTGGGTAAACTCAAGTGCGATTCCGCTCTGGATTTCTTCCTTCTGACCAGCTCGGTCGCTGGGCAGATTGGCACAGCTACTGAAGGCAACTATTGCGCTGCAAACCACTTTCTGGACGTGTTTGCTCGCTATCGCCGGAGTCTCGGGCTGCGCGCTATCTCCCTCGGATTGGGTGCTATATCCGAGGTCGGATACCTCCACGAGCACAGCGAAATCGGCGAGCTCCTCCTTCGCAAGGGCATCCGCCCACTCCCTGAGAATGAAGTCCTCCAAGTTATCGACTTCGCCCTCTTCTCCGAGATCGATCAGGAACAAACCGTCCCTCGGGATCGCCTCGCACAATGCCACATTCTAACTGGTATTGAAGACACCGGACTTCAAGACCACCGCAAACAAGGCTTTACAGGTTTTTGGCACAATCTAGACAACACCCGCTTCTCGGTACTCATCAACGCCCTGCAGCGCCAGGCATCCCAGTCCGAAGGCGGAATTAACACCCCTGCGTCGGTAATTCAAACTGTACTGGCGTCAGGCGACGAGAAGCAAGTACGTGAAGCGGTGAATCAGGCATTGGCGAAGAAGATGTCAAACATTATTCTATTGCCGCTACCGAAGTTGGATGTGAAGTTGCCATTGAGTGAGTATGGCATGGATAGTATGTTGTCGGCGGAGCTAAGACAGTATATATTCAATTCGATGGGTGTGGATGTCCCTTTTTTGACCTTGATGGATTCGGCGACGTCGGTGTTGAGCATTGCTGAGCTTGTGGTGGGGAAATTGGGGAAGATTATGGGGAAGGAGGCGAACTAGAGTGATCTCGCATTTGGATATTTCATGATAGTAATTCTTCTCTCCAAAATGCTGCACCAATCTTGAATATCGGGACTTCGAGGGTGAGAGGGCAGAGTAATCTATTCTCTCGACCGGATATATTATCTGACGAGTACACAAACGGTCTTATTTTTTCCTGTTATAGCGGCGGTGTGATAAGGAGCGGGGTAGGAAAAGCAAATGAACTCTGTCACTGGTGCACATATCTCAGCTCTCGTTTCTTTTTGTTATAACGATATCACACAGCAGGGGCAATGGACGACTGGCTGCCATTCTTCATACGCTACGGGTAGGATCTCCTTACTCGTCACTCCTGGTTTGACTTGATTGGTTTTGCTAGGTGGTCCCAGATAAGGGCCTGGTTCATTCTCGAGCTTACTCATGTAGGCAACCCTGCATCACTATCATACCTACAAAACAAAAGCTCTCCACTTGGTAAAAAGCCCATTGGCCTTTTTCAGGTCTGAGGAGACCAGCTATCAAGTAAGTGTTTTCTTCTTTGTGACAAAGTCTTGTCATTGGGGCGGGTATGCTGTCGATCATCAGAGGCATGTTGTACAGATGCCACTAGTCTATAACCAGGTGCAGCAGACTCATCCTTGGGTACCAAGCCTCCTCGAGCTAGCGGATTAGGGGCTTGATACTTCCCAGAACGCATATTTTCATTCACCCGGGAAGATGGGTTATGCACAATGATGTTCACTTTCAGAGGTAGTGTTGTTTTGTTGCTATTCGACAAGCTAGCAAACTGCAAAGGCACCTCTTATCACACTATCAGGTCTTATCACGCGACATGCTCAAGCAATCCGTAAGCTCTCATCTACTTAATTGATGCCTTCGCAGCTCAATTGTCCTGGTTACACGTGGAGGAATGTGATAAACCTCATCAGCATGTACATGCATTCCCAAAGGGGTGAGTTATCTTGACCGGGCCGTATAATGCTGATCCTGTCATCATGCCTAACAAAGATATAAAAACTGGCAACTTCCGCCAGGCCTTACGGGGACACTGGCATATTACTTGAAGAACGGTACGAAGATCCTGTGATCTAAGATATATCATTACGAAGAACTTTTCATTCCTCTTCGCCCTTGGAGTTCTAGGTACTCAGCTTCTGACTGCTGCCGCACAATTCGGCTGTGTATGAACCTTATACCCTTGCATAATTCTGTTCTGAAAGCTGAATTTTATGTAGGGACCGAACTCTGAGTATACTACGTGTGGTTCTGCATGTCCCCTGACATGCACTTCACCAACGGAGATTTAATGTCTTCTTACATGTGTGATAGGATGCCAGTGTATCGAAGGCTATGTCTTGAGTAGTGTGAGTCCCCTACCATTGATATATTTTATCTCAACTAACCTTATTCAGGCCGGTGAATCCATTCTTCCATCAGAATGTTAGAAGCTGAGGGCATACACTGTTATAGGATTGAGGCGAGCTAGTGTACTGAATACTGTAGCCGGAAGCTATTCCTAGATTGGTTAATTGTTTGATCACAATTTATCTCTTTTAATCTGCACTGCATATTAAACATATAGTCACTCACGCTGAAGTCTGCATTTCAAATGTGTACTGTGCTGAGCAGGCGAAAGGTGTTTCACAAAAGGCACCAGAGACCCAGTCAAATGCCAGGGCAGGGTGCAACCACACAGCTCCTTCTCCTATTCCCAAAACAGTTGCTCATGCCACGCACTTTTACTCACAGTCCACGTCCCTGATCTCTCGGCAGGCGGCGAAAAGTAGCGGCAAATTCAGCCTAGACTGCGGCGGTCTCAAAATCCACGCTAATGTCCGCTGTACTAGAGCGGAAAGGGAAGGTGAATTATCGATAATAAAAAACACCCATTTGAATATCAAGTGTCGAGCAAGTATTTCTAGTGCGGATGGCTAGATGATAGATAAGAATCTCTATTATCAATGCCTGCAAAAATATATGTGCTTATATCCTCCTTTTCTTCCATAAGATGTCATCCAATCTTTGTCCTAGCAGTTTCCAGACCTCGATCCCCTGTTATCTCTTTCCCATTAGAAGTCTACCTATTTCGGTGAAGTCTTCCCTCTGATAACGATTAATAGCGGTCAAACCCGTCAATCTGTCAACCATTGTAAATCAAACTGCAATTAGCTGGGTTTGCTAGGCATGACAGGGCAGTATGTGATAGCTCTTATCCCGGCATGCATGGGTACCCCTCTCCGATTAATTAAACACCCGTCAGGTGTCCGCACTCACATGGCGCCATTGACATCTAAAAGCAAGACATTTAATCATCCTTCACTCATCTCCGGACATCATTGGCCGCAATGGTGGATAAGATACATTTAGTTACATAACTATATATTTACGATGGTCCGATAAGGGTCCGTTCAAGTGAAGCGTTGCTAGTTCCCGTGCCCTAATATGATTTGACGGCCGAAAGGATGCAACCCCGTCGGAGTGTATACGGAGTTGCGTCGGAGGCTTTCCAACATAAAGAGGAGGCTGCCGGTATGTGTTGGTCACCAGTACTCTTGCACTGAAGGGGAGTACAGACGTGATAGGCAGTCAGTATGAAGTTCTTCTCGACACTTTGCAGTGTGACCCTCGCGGTTTCTGCACTAGCCTTGCCAACCTCCGATCATGTCATTCATGAGAGGCGATCTGGTACACCATCGAAATGGGAGAAGATTGGGCGGGTCAATGGCACTGAGCATGTCTTGGTGCGCATTGGTCTGACGCAGAGCAATCTTGATCGCGCATATGAGTATCTTATGAGCGTGTATGTTGATTCCCTACCTCCTGAAATATTCCGACTAACTAGTCAGGTCCGACTCTGTGTCGCCTAACTACGGCAAATTCTGGACTCAAGAAGAGGTGCACAGCGCTTTTGCACCGTCGAATGAGACTGTTGATGCGGTGCGAAACTGGCTTATTCAATCCGGTGTGGACGAGTCTCGTTTGATCCACACCCAAAACCAAGGTTGGATTGTGTTTGATGCAACTACCAAAGAAGCGGAAAGCCTCCTCCACACCAAGTATTACCACTACATCGACAAGGTCTCCGGTTTCAAAGCTCTAGCAGCAGAAGAGTATGCTCCCATTCCAATGCCTGAGACTTCATGTATAATAACAGACAATTAGATACCGCGTCCCGCAGAAAATCCAACAACACATCGACTTTGTTAAACCCGGAGTTCTTCTGCCATTAACCTCCAAGGGACCATCTGCCAAGCACACCAAGAAGTACAAGCCCTTGAAGCTCACATCAGTTAACGCGACGTCTCTCAGTACTTGCGACGAGGTCATTACTCCCGCTTGTGTTGCCGCTCTGTACAAGATTCCTCATGCAAGCGGCAACGTCAGCGCCAGCAACTCGCTTGGAATCTTCGAAGAAGGAGACTACTACGCCCAGGAAGATCTGGATCTCTTTTTCCGTAACTTCACTCCGTACATCCCGAAGGGGACACACCCTAAGCCGGCATTTATCGATGGAGCGTCAGCGCCCGTTCCTGTTGCTGATGCTGGTGCGGAATCTGATTTGGACTTTCAGCTCGCGTATCCAATTGTCTATCCTCAAACCATTACGCTCTATCAGACAGATGACTCTAACTATGCCAGTGGGGAGATTGAGACGGATGGCTTCTTCAACACTTTTCTTGATGCTGTTGATGGGGTAAGTTGGCTCACTTGACTTTTGGGATTGAGCTAATGATTCAGTCGTACTGCACCTACTGTGCCTACGGAGAATGCGGAGACAGTCCGACCCTCGATCCAACCTATCCGGATAATTCAACTGGTGGTTACAAGGGACAGTTGATGTGTGGTGTTTACAAGCCCACGAACGTCATCTCCGTCTCTTACGGTGGCCAGGAGGCGGACCTCCCTGCTTACTATCAGCAGAGGCAATGCAACGAGTATAACTCAATCACCTCTGCTTATACATACTCAGGCTGACACCAATAATAGATTCTTGAAACTCGGGCTCCAAGGAACTTCCATCCTCTTCGCATCTGGCGATGACGGCGTTGCAGGTCCCCCAGGCGATGACTCGACCAACGGCTGTCTCGGAAACGGAACCATCTTCAGTCCCGCGTTCCCTAACTCGTATGCACACTTCTCCTTTATTTGAAAGCCATGTTTAATGTTACTAGTTGCCCCTACGTGACCAACGTCGGCGCCACGAAGCTTTACCCCGGAAAGACCATCGCGGATGGGGAAAGCGCCGTCGTCGACCCGGCCGGCCACCCTTACTCGATCGCGTACTCCTCCGGCGGTGGCTTCAGCAACATCTACACTATTCCAGACTACCAAGCCGAAGCAGTCGCAGAGTATGTCCTTCCGACTTAAACGTCACCCCAGTCTAACAAAAATCAGGTACTTCAAAAACCACAACCCACCCTACCCCTACTACGAAGGCAACGCCAGCTTCGGCAAAAACGGCGGAATTTACAACCGCCTGGGACGCGGGTACCCCGACGTCGCAGCAAACGGCGACAACATCGCCGAATACAACGCGGGAGAATTCATCCTCGAGGGTGGAACAAGTGCTAGTGCGTTACTACCCTACCCCAATCACATCCACCAATCTCCGTCCTAATTCAATTACTAATGATAATTACACAAAGGCACTCCGATCTTCTCCTCCGTGATCAACCGCATTATCGAGAAGCGTATCGCGGCAGGAAAGGGCCCACTGGGCTTCCTCAACCCGGTTCTGTACCGAAATGCGTGGGCATTGAACGATATCACGAATGGGTCGAACCCGGGCTGTGGGACGGAAGGATTCTATACTGCTCTTGGGTATGAATTTCCTTTCCTTTCCTTTATATACCACCATGCTTCAGTAAATGAACAATATGCTAATAATCGGTGAAAAAGATGGGATCCTGTCAGCGGTCTCGGAACGCCAAACTTCCCGAAATTGCTGGACGTGTTCCTGAATCTACCGTAACGGGGGATTCCACCGTGTTCGGAGGAAAGAAAGTGAGGCAAGATTG